AACGCGGTTACTGTACCACCGATAAGATAAAACTCACAAGCGTATCATCTAATTATTAAAAGTAGCACGTCAGAGGTAAGATATATTGCAATTCCCAGGAGCACAGCAAGGGGACACACACACACGCGAGTACGTCTTGACACCAGCACGCTATTGTCCATCCCGAGCGCGCGCATGCATCCAAAGGCAAAGATCCCCCGTATAGCCTCAAACAGAACTGTTGGGGCAAGTGCTGTTAGCGAGCACCTATAAAGGCCGTAAACGGCACACGATGGAGTTGGGTGGCCCAGCGCCACGCCCGGCCGCCTTTGTCTCCCCGGTGGCGGTGTTTACTGCACACCGCAACCCAGGTACTCATTTGAGGCCGAGTCGACCTGGCGGGGGGGGGGGGGCCAGGACCGGTTCAAATGATCGTCGCTGGGTGTCGGCGGGAATAGAACTCGGGTCTCCGGGTTCGCAGCGTGGCGCTCACCGCTGCACCACCGCTCCCCACGCACATATTGCACACACACACTGCACACACGGCGTCAACGCCGGCTATATCTAGATATGTATATACAGTATAAAATACACCGCTTGGCTACTTCGTAACACGCGGGGCATTTCGCCCGGCTGCGACACAGGGCGGCAACTTCCACGAGCCGCGCAATTTGTATTGCTCTCGACGAATTAAAAGCGGCGGAGATATCTCATTCACTCGTGCCATCATCTCATTCACTCGTGCCATCATCTCATTCACCCGTGCCATCATCTCATTCACCCGTGCCATCATCTCATTCACTCGTGCCATCATCTCATTCACCCGTGCCATCATCTCATTTACCCGTGCCATCATCTCATTCACTCGTGCCATCATCTCATTCACTCGTGCCATCATCTCATTCACCCGTGCCATCATCTCATTCACCCGTGCCATCATCTCATTCACTCGTGCCATCATCTCATTCACTCGTGCCATCTCATTCACTCGTGCCATCTCATTCACCCGTGCCATCATCTCATTCACCCGTGCCATCATCTCATTCACTCGTGCCATCATCTCATTCACCCGTGCCATCATCTCATTCACTCGTGCCATCATCTCATTCACTCGTGGCATCATCTCATTCACCCGTGCCATCATCTCATTCACTCGTGCCACCATCTCATTCACTCGTGCCATCATCTCATTCACTCGTGCCATCATCTCATTCACTCGTGGCATCATCTCATTCACTCGTGCCATCATCTCATTCACCCGCGCCATCATCTCATTCACCCGTGTTATCTCATTCACCCGTGCCCTCATCTCATTCACCCGTGCCATCATCTCATTCACTCGTGCCATCTCCACATCTCCTTCCCCCCCCACACACCACCACCACCACACCCAATGTCCTCCACCAGCACGGAAATGAAAACGCGGCCCCGATGCAAAAGTGAAAGCAAGAAACGAATCCGCTGCTGGGCGCGCTCCCGACACGCGCACGCGCACGCAGGCAAAAAAAGACAAAGATCCCCCGTGTAGCCTTGACAAAGAACGTCGGGGGGCAAGTGCTGTAGAGCGAGCGCGCAACCTCGACGACACGCCTTGTACACCGGGGCACGCACAGGGGCACGCACGTACACACACACACTTACGTGTACACACACACTTACGTGTACACACACACGTGTACACACACACACACGTACACACACACGTACACACACACGCGTGTACACACACACACGGACACACACACACGCGTGTACACACACACACGTACACACGCGTGTACACACACACACGGACACACACACACGCGTGTACACACACGGACACACACACACGCGTGTACACACACACACGTACACACACACACGCGTGTACACACACACACGGACACACACACACGCGTGTACACACACACACACGCGTGTACACACACACAAGTACACACACACGCGCGTGTACACACACGGACACACACACACGCGTGTGTACACACACGTACACATACACACGCGTGTACACACACACACGTACACACACCAACAACGTTTACCTTTGGGAAGCGACATGCCCGTCTGCTCGCGTGAAACGAGCGCCTGGAAGACGCCACTCAGCTTCGTCGCTTGCCTCTCAGCCTACTGCCGGAACTCGACAACACAAAACTAGGCGGGTGCAGCTAAACGTGAGCTCCTGCACTCAGCTTCACCACCACCACCACCAACTACTACCACTACACCCACCCACCACCACCACTATCAGCCACGCAGCACGCGCGACACGGCACCTCCACTCAGCTCCTCCGTGGGGATGGGATGATTACGGGGGGGGGGAGCTGTGGGTGGGGTGAAGGGTGGGGGCTAGGCGAGAGGGGGGGGGGGTGGAGGGGAGGGTTTGTGGTGGTGGTGGATGGGGGGGGGTGCTCAGGAGGTGAACATCGCAGGATTGTGAGAGGTGTGGCGCGCCGGACTGGAGGGAGGGACGCGGGGCCGTTCATCTAGCAGTGCACTGAACATGGCTGCATGTAATTAATGGCACTCAAGAGGTGGGTGGGCTCGGGAGAGTGGTGGTGGTGGTGGGGTGGGGATCCTTTTGGCTGTAATCTTCCGGAAGACTGAATCAGCCCTCCGCTCACAGTGCGCGCATCGCTCGAACCCATTGGGAGCGGACGGGGAGGGGGGTCACAGCAGGCCTCCTAAGTGGCCCGGATGTTGCTGCTGCCGGGGTGGTGGTGGTGGTGGTGGTCCTGCGCGTGGTTGGTCAGCAGGGGGCAGCATTTTGTTGAATTGGTCGTTGCAGCCGTGGTGGAACTTGCAGTAGACAGCCTCTCAAATGGGAGGTCACCTTGGTGCGGTGTGTGTAAACAATCGCTGCTGGGGGAGACAAAGGCGGCCGGGCGTGGCGCTGGGCACCCCCCCCCCACACACACACACACCGTTGCCGGCCTCCATAGATGTTACTCGCACTTGCAATGGTGAACACTGCACTTGCAATCCATCGATCCTTCTCCCGACGGAAGTTCAAACAATGGGTCACGATTCCTAAATACCCCCTCGTCCCAGCCAGTATGCAGTGATACACCAGAGTAGATGAGCGAGCCGCGTGTGGTAGGGTAAAATGTGGGTACTAACACCTCTTCCAACACTGACCACGTTGAGTGGACTAAACAGATTATTTGGTACATCATAGTCGATCGGGTAGGTCGCGTGTGGTGGGGTAAAGTGTGGGTACCCCCCCCCCCCTTCTCCCAAGACGTCTGGCCAGTCTAAAAGAGGAGGTCAAATCCCCTTCGTAGAACTCCCTTCGGTGTCACGAGGGATCTTACTCCAGCCGTGGCGTGACCACGCAAATGCAGGGCTCCATGTTATCTTAGAAACAAGCAAAAGAGGCTTCAGGGGTGTTTTGCTGCAGGTATAGAAGGTGGGTTAAGCAATTCATGAACAAACAAAAATCAGGTTTAAAAAAAAAACACTTTTTGAATGCACACACTTTTTTTATTTGCACTCAAAAATAGGAAATACGTAATTTTGACCTCAGTGTTAATAAAATATGACGTGCTGAATAAAAGTAGGTGGCTTGCATAATAAGGAAAATTAAACATCGAAAGGAAACCACCCACTTTTATTCAGCACATCAAATTTGATTAATTCTGGGGTCAAAATAATACATTTGTATACTTTTGAGTGCAAATAAACGTGTGTGCATTGAATAACTTTTTTGTTACCTACATTTTGTCTGGATGATGATTATAATGTATTTTAAATGCTGCAATACATTTTAAAGTAAAAAAAGACACGAAGAGGCCCAGGATCGGCGGGACCTTGACCGATTGTTTTAAAAATTAAATCTTGAATTGTCACGCGAGACGACGAACGCGTCTGTGTTGAAAATATTACCTCGTGAGGCTTCGTAGATCCGAAGATATTTTAAGCGTCAAAGATTTGAACGAATATAATCAGACAACTGTGCAAGTTCGATAAAAGTGCGTAATAAAAAAAAACGAACATCCATGCTCTTCTCTCTCATCGATGTGAGTTCCTGCTCTGTCAAACGTTGCCGGCCTGGCTGAATGGAGGACAAGGTAGGTGCCCTTTGGTCAGGCTCAGGTTTGAGACGCAGCAAGCCAGCACCCGTGTGGTATGGATCCTCTCACTGTACGACTTCGTGAAGGGCACTCCGCCCTCTCAGTTATCAGGAACGCTTCACGAATTTGCGTGTCATCTTTGCGCAGAGGCCATGCCAATCTTCTCTGTATCGTTCCAATTTTAGTATATGTACTGCCGGAGCAAGTACAGGAAAGGAGGGGGGGGGGGTGCATTTGTAATTAGATCTCAAATAGGGAGCAGATTCTCCACGCTGGGTTGATACACTGGGGATGGTTTTCTTGGCAATGGTCACTAGGAATAAGTGCCACGTAATTTTCTGCGGTTTTACAATTGCCCGTCAATTCTAGATTTGAAGCTTTCGTGACTGCAAGGATCCATCCTCTTTGGTTCTATTCGGTAAAGTCACATAGGTAAAAAATAAAGCAACAAAAAATCACGTTTCGGCCACAACACAAGTGGCCCACTTGTGAATAGAACCAAAGAGAATGGCCCGTCACTTTGCACCAATATTATTGCCGCTCACTACTGGAATGGATTGCTTCGTGAGGATCACGGGACATTGTTGCGTCGCGGGATCACGAAAGAAGGCGACGGCTTGTGGAGGCCTTCATCCAGCAGTGGATTGACCATGGCTCATGATCATGATGATGGCAATGACTAAAAGATTTCTGAAGTGCGATACAGGATATTTTTTTCTCTCTCTCTCTCTGGGGCTTAGCGCCACAGCGCGTGGATTTATAGCGTTTGTTTATCTGTTTGCTGGTGACTTTGTGTATTTCGTATCGGAATCGCCTCCAGTGATGTTGCTGCTGGCGGCAATAAAAGTTGTTTAAAAGTCAAAAAGTCTCTCTGGGGCTTCGTAACGTATCACATGCAAACACAAACAGCGCCCTCTCTGAACAAAAACAAATCTAAATTGTGGCCATATTTTAGTTGTATTTATTTTAAACAGCAGCAGGAGGACAATGAAACCCACCGAATACCGGTTTCACTCTTGGTTAGGAATCATCAGTACAGTAAAGCCATAATTGTCTTGTGCTTCTGGGGGCTTCACGTGGCCAAGCTCTGGGTCCCTGATTGCTGTGGATACAGTCTGGGCCTGCTGCCTTAAGGGTGACAGTAAACCAAATCGCAGGCTCTCCGTATATATGATAAAAACTCGCAGGAAATTGCCAAAATTACGGCTCTTTTCACGAGTCGCTGGTCTAACGTTCTAAACCAAGGCTGGTGAGCATTGCACGGGTAGTATGGCAATGCCACGTGACGTGCAAGGCATGATGGGAGCACCGATTGTGTGGTCACAATCCCGCTGTAGTTGGCTGTGCAGAAATCACCTTTTTGCGTCTATTTATCTATTATTGCTCTTACTTGCTTCCACCCTGCACTCGTTCTTCTGCCCCACGAGTTTCTCATCATTTACAGAAGGTGTTAGATTGGGTTTAAGTGATTTAATGCAGTATTGTACTGTGTCAGTCTATGGAGCCTATGGATGAACCGTATCTGGCATTATTTGTTTACATGAACACCTGTGAACCATTCACCGATGTGGACTTTGCTCGAACCGACCACACAAATAACAAAGCCAGAGTAAAACTGAACACTACCATTGCTCGTAATGGAGTCTGTAATATTTATGAACAACACGAAATAAGCATTTGACCAGAGTTCACCAATTATATGGTTGCCACAATATACAATTTCAAGATACAATATTAATTTTCACGATATGACGATAATCGCGATATCAGGTTTCCCTAAATCTGTCGTATTTCACAATTTTATTGCATCGATATTTTGTTTTGCTGTGCTCCATCCCTAATGAAGATGAATTAAAAGCTCCGCAATTGCAGTTCACTCAGCAGAAGCCTGCCACGTGTATTCCAATCTTTGCTACTTTAAAAGGGATAACGTGCATAACGAACAGGCAGGCAGTAACACAATATGTGATTAAATAGTTGAACGAAGTACCATCATGTTATCGATTATTCTGCAAAACACTTTTCAAAAGGTTCAATTCGTGGGTAATCGTAAATATTTCGTCAGGAAATGCGATATGAAAAAAAAACAATTATTGGCCAATTATAATCACGATATAACGATATTTAGCAAAAAACGGAAGATAAAATCATTGTGCGCCTTGTGTCGTACGATATAGCATTGCCATTTTGCGGGAATCCGAGCACCTTCATATTATCCGCGAGGTGATTTCAAAAGGCTACACCTTAAACAAAATACTCCAACAAGTTCCAGTAGCAATCTTGATGGCATTGGGCTGCTCTGAGTGAGGTGGTGTGGGATGTCGAAGTTCGGGTGAGGGCAGCTTCCGGGTTATGAAATGTCAGACGATTCATAGGTCTAAATGTTTAGAAAGATGCGTTTAGATTATTTTGATGCTATTCATTTCATCCACACGATAAGCCACTTCGTTGAGCTATCAATTGTGGGCAGGTCGCTTCTGAAAAATAAGGTAATAGCTCAGTGGGCTTTACCCGGTATAGGATACAAATAATTCAGTTTATATGTATATTTTTTTTAAGTAATTTATTTACTTTTCTTATACTTTTCACTCCTATCGTGTTTTTGTATTGTGTTGTAACATTCTGACCCGCCCCTACTGGACATCTGTTGGATTCCGCCAGTACAAATAAATATTTTGATTCTGAGATACGAAAATATATACGCACAACTCTCCGAACGTGAACACATTTCGTCTTTCAATATTCCTGATGTATTAAACATCCGAGCTTAGACTTTACGTTAAAAAAAATGTTTGCAGTTAAATAATTACGCGTGTATATATTTTTTGGGTAAGTCAACTCGATTGTGCCCCCACCCCCAACCTTTCTCGGTCGCGTCCACCAATCAGAACCTCAACGGCAGTGTCGGCTTTGGGAATCTTGGCACCATTGCAAAGTTGTTCGAGGAGGAAGCACACGTGACTCAGCCTCGAGGTTAACCTGACCCAGAGGGCAACCGTGGAGGAGGAAGGGGGGTGGGGGGGTGTACTTGGGGTGCGTGCGAAGCATCGGTGCGTATGCGTGTACACTCTCAGTTTAAGTGAGGGCAACCGCGTCGGGTAACGCGTTCTTGGGGTGGTTGGCGCGCCCCATGCATCGGTGTGCGGTGTGGGTGTGTAACGTCTCGCGCCTACGGGTCGGTATGCGTGCGTGCGTGCGTGCGCGTGCGTGTGCGTGCGTGCGTGCGCGTGCGTGCGTGCGCGTGCGTGCGTGCGTGCGCGTGCCCTTTGCACGTTGCGAGCGTTGGGTGCTGCTGCTGTTGCTGCTGCTGCTATTGACAATCGGTGGTGGCGATGTGTTGCGTGTCTTTCACACGATGCCGTACTGCGCCAGTTCGTGTAGTTCCAAGTGGCTGAAGGCCTCCCAGGGGCAGATGACGGTGATGTCTGCAGGGGTTAGGGTTTGGGAACACGGTGGTTAATACGTAAAAAAATATAATAAAAAATAAACACGGTGTCATAATGATGGAGGCAATGTCACGATGCATTCGCTCCAATGCTTCGTATTTCTGGGTATTGCAAGTCGCATCCAGTCTCGGCCTCTTATATTTACCAAGCAATGGTTTTGTTTTGTGTAAAAATAAGGAAGTTACTTCTTTCTCTAAGGAAACAAATATATTCCATGTGTATTAAGTAACACACCTGTTCCCAAGCCTTCCATTCCTGGAATCTCATCCCCAAACCTAAAAAAAACGGAACATGCATTCACGGCAAAGTTTAACATTTGTTTTGTTTGACCGCGTGTGAGAACTCACTGCGTGCATTAAACATCCGCACGATTGCATCTAACGCGTAAGACACCCGCTCGGACGTTCGTTAAACAAACGTTGAGAACGTTTGGACATGTGCGGACTTTGGTGCAGGCATGCATGTATCTCTCATCCGGACGAAGAGCCGACCGCGCCGTCAACTATACAGGTGGCCACTCGGCAGGGCCAGCCTCCTAACCAGTTCGTCAATTGAGAGGCCGCCTGCAGTCACCAGCGCCTGAGTCGAAAGCAACGGAGACGCAGGCTCGCAATGGTTTAGTTGAAATGTACTCGATTTATGAAACCCATGCTGTGACAAGAGCCTTACTCCATGCCGATGGAACGTCTGTAAGTGGACCGCTTGTCTTGTTGTGGAAATGTTACTGACCGCTCAGCGTCAGTGTTGCCAGAAGTGAAACTATCAGTGTCGTGCCAAGACGCGAATGCATTTCCCTTCAGAACTTTCTGATTGAGCAGTCAGGGAATGGCCTCTCACAAGATGCTACAGAACCGGCTTGTTGAAGGCCTTTCTGTATTTTCCCATTGTATTCGAAATAGGAACCCACTTTTTTTAGACTCTGGAATGAGTTGCAATTTCATTAAATGAAGATGTTTAATTCTTGATATAAGCCGAGTTAATTTGAAAACTAAATTTCATATGGTGGGTTATGTGTGGATGTCTTGTGTATCGTGACGCCCATTTAATTTTCTAATACGTATTTTTTTTTCTAAAGTGAGGTTTATTTAAAAACCAAAGTGGATATGCAATGGAAAACAACTGTTAGGGGTAAATTATTTAGGTGATCTCAAGACACCTGGATCAGCCTTTACAATCTACTCGCTGAGCTTTGGAATCCGGTTTGTGTTGCCGGTGGCTGTAGTTGGATTCGATCATGGAATCTCTTCGATCCCAGCTGAGAGCTCCAACAAGGCACGATATCCCTCCCCCCTCGAGCCACCCATCCACCTTACCAGTGACCTATTACCATGGCCACTACCGTTAGCTGTCACCACTCCAACCGCATGCTCAAGATGAGTTTTGTATTTTAAAAAAATCTCGGATTTAACATTTTCTAAATGTTAAGGTTATTTTTCGAATCGTTTTTTTATTTAAGATCATTTAAATCGGAGCCTTTCGAGCTTTTTCACACTTTTCGAGCTTGCTCGGTCATCTGCGGCACAGCTGTTCGCCCCAAACTCGGCGTGCGTGGCCGAGGGAGTTGAGAGGGCCGGGGATGGGGGCTGACGGCTGTCTGCTGCTGCTGCTGCAGAGCGGGAGGTGTGGTGGGTGGTGGTGGCGGCTGGATCGGACACTCAACGGCACGGATGAGAGTCCCAGCTTGCGAGCACTGACGTTCTTTCCTATGGAATTCCGAAAATACCGCGTCACGCCTGGGACTTTGCCTAGCAAATGTGACGTCACCTGACGCCACGTGACACTATATTTAGCAGGGGGGGGGGGGGTAAGTGACACCACCTTAAAAGTGGCGTAATTTCCCGTGGCGTCATACTTTCGGATCCATCTGAAACAGAACGTGCATTGTCTGAAATGTCCTATATCTCGGCCAAAATTGAGACGTACTTTTATCGTTTGTTTTCTTCTCCCAGGTTAACCTCGAGATTGCAACCTCCCTCCCTCCCTCCCAACGTACCCTTTGACGCCAGGTTTTGGCGGCTTGCTCTTAAACTGTCGCGTCGCTCGCTGCTTGAACTTGGGCGGGCCTTTCTTGGGGGTGGTGGGGCCCGTGTGGGTGACCGGAGGGGCGAGCGTGTTCGAGGTCTTCTCGCTCATCCTTGCCTTCGTCCGACTCTCGCCTCAGCAAAGCGATGCTGCAGCGAACAAACAAAGCAAAAGGAGGCAGAAAAAAAACCGTGCACGTACGCGTGATGTCGATCGAGTTTTCCAACACGCGGTTTTTTTTTGTTGTTGTCCTCGGAACTCTTTAATTGGCGATAATAAAACGTTACGTTTCGAGCCGCGTGATGACACGTGCGTACCCATTTAGTAAACCCACTGCCACACCGTGAAACTTACGTGACCACACATCACCATGCAGGTGTACGGTGCTTTTTTTTTCAGGAATATTTTTTGCTGTTTTTTCATGTATTTTCTGTTTGCGCACAGTCACATAGTCACTTTAAGATGTTTTCTTGTTCGTGTTTTTGTTTGTTGTGGTTGCACCCGATTCAAGAGCCGAATGGCTCACAGGGCTATACCAAAATAAAGAATCTGAAACTGAAAACTGAAGGTCGGCGTAGGTTAGTTAGGCCGTTAGGGGAGCGCAGAAGTTTAAAACTGTGGATTTTTTTTTTGCTGCACTCCCTCTGCTGACCACCACCGTAGTAGCAGAAGCGGCCGTCTCTGACAACGTGCCATGAATTTTGGTCACCCATTGAAGCACCAGCCAGCCTCAAGCCGGAGCTTCCGAGGTATGAAAATGAGGCACGTTCTTGATGATTTGTTCATAGGCGGTGTAATTATACACGTGCGGTGTATAATTAAGGTGACTGTGTGTGTGTGTGGGAGAGAGTGTGTATGGATATTTTTGGGTAAACATGTTATTGATGTGGGTGTTCCCCATTCGTTACCGTGAACGCCCACGTAACTCACATTTGAAAGTGGCAAAAGGTCGCCACGGCCAATGTCGTTGATGCCACCAAGTGTTGCTGCCATTGTATCCTTCCTAATAGAGCACAGAATACTTCCTCCCACCACTTAAGAGTCCCCTCAATTGCTGTGTTCTATGTGCATACGACAAATGTTACCCCCCCCCCACCACCTGTATTTAAAATTTTAAAAATTGAGGTTGCGTCTTATAATCCGGAGAATAGGTCGTTTTCCAGAAGGAATGATTTAATCGAGTTGGCAATACTCCCCTTCGGGAAGATGGTTCTTCCGTAGCAGTACTCAAACTAAACTATTAACTTTTTTATTTTACCAGGTGAGGCCCACTGAGCAATCTAGCTCCTTTTCATAAGTGACCTGGTCACACAAACTATGGCTCAACGGAATGGATTATCGCGTGGAAATTTACCGCAGCCGAATTCTTGAAACGCGTGGATGTTCATTCTAAATGTGGAGGGGAAAAAACTGGAGGACCTGAAGAAAAATCCACGCGGCCACGGGGAGAACACGCAAACTCCAAATATGCAGGCGTCAGGGTCGGGATCGAACCCATGACCTCCTGAACACCAGGTGAGGTAGTTAACATATCCTAGCCTCCGTGGCGAGATGTTAACTACGTGACCACACAGAGGACAGGAGACACCATCACCCGTTCAGAATCTTCTAGACTAAGACACCTTTCTCCATTATAAAGCAGCCCGTTCATAAATCAAAATATTCTGGAAGACGTGCTCTGCATATTACCACTATTCTCCACCATTATAAAACGCACTCTTTTTTGGTTTAATGACCCTAAACGTTTGGGGAGCAGGAGAATACGGTATCAAGCCACAATCACTTGATCAGAGATTAGAGATCATGGAATTATGGGTTGTCGGCTGAGCATGAACTTGCGTAACCGTTTAGTTCTTGGATGGTTGAGTATCTCACGGTTCTAGAAGATAGTGTGCTCTAGTGCGTCTTTATTTACAATTTAACTTCAGGTCCTCTGAAAGCTATGGCGAGCGTTTAAAAAGTAACTGGCATCATTAACATCGGTATATCTGTGTTGATTCCCGTGCACTACCAATGACAAAAATAATACCAAATTCTCTGGATTCTAAGACGCTCCAGAAAGGTAAAAACTAACCCCAGAAATATGCCCGGTGTCATGATACAAATATGGTCACACACAACACCCCCAAACTCTTACTTTAAATTATAGGGGCAAAAGTGCGTCCAATGATCCAGAGCTTCATGTTTAAAAGTTGCGCCAAGGAAGCTTGCCACTAATATGATATATTCCTGGTGTAAATCTAAATTTAAAAAAATCAATAACGTACAAACGGGGAATATGTTCGCTGGAAGCAATCGTGCTTTCTAACGTGGCAATTGACCGAAAATCAAGCGCTTGCTCTTCTCGATGTCGTTCCGGTACTTTGCTTATTTGAAATGCTTCACCACCGCGGGGCTTAAACGTGCAGCGCAATCGTCGACTCTGTTGTGTTGGCTAAAAGACGCAATTACTTCACCCGGCTTTGCGATGCATCTCGCTAATTTGATTTAAAGCCATCGAAAGAGCAGAGATTACAGAAGCGCCTGGCACAACACGCGCGCCACTTAATCTTTTCACGTAAATGGCATTTTAAGGTCAGCCGGATTTTTGCCCTAAATTTGGCAAGGAAATCAGCCAAACAAATCCATTAATGTAATGAGTTGCTCAGCGCCGCGCAAGGGGAGACAGCTCTTAAGCTCCCACCTCGCGCGATTAATCAAACGTCCCTTTTAATCAAAGCACACAATGGCTTTTTTGCATCTACTGTTGTAACAACAATATTTTTTTTTACTCTTGTAAACAACAACAAATCCCAGATTTTAAAATCATCTGTGCACATGACATGGCCGTGGCAGTAAACTCTTCCGTAACACCTCCGAGAGATATTTCACTCGACCGGGTTGTTTTGTTATGCGCGTTTATCAGCTCCGCCGGTCACAACGCCTTGTCCATCTATTTTTTCTTCCCTTGAACAAACCGGAGAGGGGAGGTGGGAGGAGTCGTTGGTGTCACGTTACGTGTCCTGCTGCTCCTGCTGCTGCTGCTGCAACCGGGTAAGACAGCCAGCCAGATGGCCGCTGCGATCAGAAACTGCATGATACTTGTTTTCAACTTTTTCATCTGGCCTTTCGATGTAAATAAGTACTTGATGAGTTTCTCCACCAGCCCAACAACAAATTGCTTTCGAGATGCGCCAACCAGCGCACACCACACGTGGCCGTGTAACAAGACTGAAGCTCGTTCCATCGTGGGAAATCCGCCTCTACATTCCCCCCCACCCCCACCACCCCCTCAACAATATGAATCGGGGGGGGGAAAACATCACCGCACAGGTTCGAACGAGCAGGATGCCCCGGTAAACCCTTCTGCCTGCCCTGCACCTCGGCAGGCACTTATATCGAATTAATTATCTGTCGAGAAGCATCTGAGCGTGCTCGATTGTCTCCCGTTAAAGTCACATCACGTAAGATAACATACCGTGCACGTAGATTAAAGGAATCACGAACGATGACGGCTTTATATGGGGCGGGGTAAATACTTTTTTGGACCTTTTCAATCTCCACCCCCCCCCCATCGTGTAGCCTTAGACGACGATGTTAGTCTTGTCCTGGCTGATATCGCTCGCGCAACTCATTGGGTTTGGTTGTTATTTCTTCCCCTCCCGTGTGACTTGTGTCCCCCTAATCCCGACCACTCTTCTCCCCTCTGTATGTTTATCGTGCTGAAAGACACATTTGTGAAACAAAACCCCAGGACATTTCCGTCGGCTAAAGATGGCTCTGGCCAAACCGAGTACAAGATCGAAAAGTCATTATCAATATTGAAAACTCGCTTGTTTAAAAGTGTGTTTTAGTGTGTTAGCAGTTGTCCTTCCCCCCCCCCCCCGCACTTTTGATTAGCGCGGTTGGCTACGTGCGGTGCGAAAGAAGTTCAACGTGCATGCACTGGGGACACTGGGGTGAACGCATGCTGTCAGTTGATGAGATCCTTAGTCCTAAACCCACTCGAGTCATCTCTCTGATTTTGTTAATGCCCGTAGAGATTAAGGAGGGAGAGGTTGGGGGGGGGGTTGTTTGTCTCACGGATGCCCTTGGTCTTGCTACGGCTTGCCAGGTGTGACGACTTGCCAGAGCGTAGCCCTCGGTCTAACGGAGAAAGCTGGGGGGGGAGGGGGGGTGAATGGGGGCTTGGGCTCTGCCTCATTAGCCCTCCCCACCCCTCGACCTGCAACTTAACCAGGCAGATAATATATTATTTTTTTAACGCACGAGGAATGAGTTTCAGATTTTAAATATGTTGCACACGTCCTGTTCTCCTATAACGTGAATTGGATATAACGCAATGAATGTATTTAGGGTACGCATCTTTTTGTAACGCGGATGCGAATTGGATGTAACGCGATTGAGCGGATATAACTACGTCGTACGAGTAGGAATAAGCGGTTTGTGTACGGCTGCCTCGGCGTAGCATCATCAATACCTGTCAACCCAGATGGTTTACCCCGTATTCTTGTACAGGGAAATTTAGTTTTCAGGTCCATACTGCGTACAGCCGTTTCAATGCGGGCAAATAAATTGTCTATTTGTTTGTGTTTCTCCCTTGTGATGGGATCTTTGTAAGATGAACGTTGAGATTTATAAGGGGCACGGGGTGACCAATAAGGTCTGAATTGCTCTGTAATAAGGTAGGGCACTGATAAGGGGTTGACAGGTATGCATCATCACAAAAGGCGTTGGGATGCTGCTGGATGCTTCTAGAGGCTACCCACCACGCGTCTGAGGTCTTTGTTCAGCCTCCGTACGCATCTCACGCGTTATCGCGGACTGTGCTTTAACCTATAATATTTATTATAACGCAATTTTTCCAGAACGCGTTGTCCTTGAGGAACGTAAATTACCGCATTACAGGGAGAACAGACTGCACCTCGACATCTTTTGTGGATAATTTCGGATTTTTCTTTCAACATTTACGCTTCGTAATAAATTTAAAGAGTCTTCGTGTCTGCAGAAGTGATGTCGCCCGATGCCACTTGGCTTCAATACAGGCATTTTTGTATTACTTTAGTATAAATACATGTTAATTTAGATTAATATTTTGCTTTTTTCTGACTTTATGTGAACGAAAAGACACAAAATCGCCCATTTTCTCATTGAAAATAGGTACATTTCAAAATATCACTGCCCTGGTCACAAAATGCAAAGTTTGTGGGGAATACTAGCCATTTTCTGTACTTTAGAGGCATAAGCAATGAGGAAATAACACTTACTACCCAGGAACAAAAAAATTAATGTGTTACACAGTGTTATCAGATCGTGCGTGTTTTCATGTTTTGCCACAAGTATGTGCGGTGAATGGAGACTCGATGCCTTGCAAAAGGTTTATATTTGGTCGTTTGAACATCTTAACACCTGTTTTATTGCCAGAAAGGCTAAAACCTATTATTATTATTTCTCAATAATTTATTTGATACTGGTCAAACAAAAAGGGCCCCAAAAATGCATACATATAATGTAGCCGAGACGGCTCATACGCTTCGGGTGTGTGTGTGTGCATCCTGGGTCGATGACTGAAAGTGCGCCCCCTGCTCGGTTAATTATACAAAAAAACAAGAGCTGTCGTTTTATGTGTAAAGTATAAACACGAGTCGAGAACACGTTTCTATGCAATGGAAAGCAATATACAAGCCATAATTTCCACTCTTCTAACAATACTTCCACGCTCGCAGCGCTGAAAGTACAGCATGTTCCATTATAACACGGTAGTTGCTTACAGTGAGGGGAAAAAAGTATTTGATCCCCCCTGCCGATTTTGTACGTTTGCCCACTGACAAAGAAATGATGAGTCTATAAATTTAATGGTAGGTTTATTTGAACAGTGAGAGAGAATGACAAAAAAATCGAGAAAAACGCATGTCAAAAATGTTATAAATTGATTTGTATTTTAATGAGGGAAATAAGTATTTGACCCCCTCTCAATCAGAAAGATTTCTGGCTCCCAGGTGTCTTTTATACAGGTAACGAGCTGAGATTACGAGCACACTCTTAAAGGGAGTGCTCCTAATCTCAGCTTGTTATCTGTATAAAAGACACCTGTCCACAGAAGCAATGAATCAATCAGATTCCAAACTCTCCACCATGGCCAAGACCAAACAGCTCTCCAAGGATGTCAGGGACAAGATTGTAGTCCTACACAAGGCTGGAATGGGCTACAAGACCGTTGCCCAGCAGCTTGGTGAGAAGGTGACAACAGTTGGTGCGATTATTCGCAAATGGAAGAAACACAAAAGAACTGTCAATCTCCCTCGGCCTGGGGCTCTATGCAAGACCTCACCTCGTGGAGTTGCAATGATCATAAGAACGGTGAGGAATCAGCCCAGAACTACACGGGAGGATCTTGTCAATGATCTCAAGGCAGCTGGGACCATAGTCACCAGGAAAACAATTGGTAACACACTACGCCGTGAAGGACTGAAATCCTGCAGCACCCGCAAGGTCCCCCTGCTCAAGAAAGCACATATACATGCCCGTCTGAAGTTTGCCAATGAACATCTGAATGATTCAGAGGACAACTGGGTGAAGGTGCTGTGGTCAGATGAGACCAAAATGGAGCTCTTTGGCATCAACTCAACTCGCCATGTTTGGAGGAGGAATGCTGCCTATGACCCCAAGAACACCATCCCAACCGTCAAACATGGAGGTGGAAACATTATGCTTTGGGGGTGTTTTTCTGCTACGGGGACAGGACAACTTCACCGCATCAAAGGGACGATGGACGGGGCCATGTACCGTCAAATCTTGGGTGAGAACCTCCCTCCCTCAGCCAGGGCATTGAAAATGGGTCGTGGATGGGTATTCCAGCATGACAATGACCCAAAACACACGGCCAAGGCAACAAAGGAGTGGCTCAAGAAGAAGCACATTAAGGTCCTGAAGTGGCCTAGCCAGTCTCCAGACCTTAATGCCATAGACAATCTGTGGAGGGAACTGAAGGTTCGAGTTGCCAAACGTCAGCCTCGAAACCTTAATGACTTGGAGAAGATCTGCAAAGAGGAGTGGAACAAAATCCCTCCTGAGATGTGTGCAAACCTGGTGGCCAACTACAAGAAACGTCTGACCTCTGTGATTGCCAACAAGGGTTTTGCCACCAAGTACTAAGTCATGTTTTGCAGAGGGATCAAATACTTATTTCCCTCATTAAAATGCAAATCAATTCATAACATTTTTGACATGCGCTTTTCTGGATTTTGTTGTTGTTATTCTGTCTCTCACTGTTCAAATAAACCTACCATTAAAATTATAGACTGATCATTTCTTTATCAGTGGGCAGACGTACAAAATCAGCAGGGGATCAAATACTTTTTTCCCTCACTGTACCTGAAGAACACCGCGTGATGTACAAACCGCGTTATAATATAATAGATAATATCGGGTAGAGCACCCGTCCGCGATAACACGTGAGATGCTGAACAAAGACTGAGGCGCCGTGAGTAGCATCTAGAAGTATCCAGCAGCATCCCGCCTCGTGTGATGCCACGCCACGTACAAACCGCTGAGTTCCTACTGGCGCGGTGACGTAGTTCTGGTCGCTGAATCGCGTTCTATCCAATTGGCATCAGCGTTATATAAACAATGTGTTCCCTAATACATTCAACGTTGCGTTATATCCAATTCGCGTCATTAAAAAACACGCGGCGTTATAGGGGAACAGCATGCACTCTGCTTTTTATGTAATTAAATGTCAAGATAAAATGTATTGGGGTATTTTTTATATATATAGCCTGTCCTCTATAGATAGGATATAAACTGTACTCTGGTGAAAGAATTACATTGCTCGCAGCGCAAGTTGAAAAGTTGGAGAGATTTTAAATTAACCGGGTCAGTCACCTAGTTCCGTTACTCCAGCCTCTTTGGTGTCGCTAAGTCTGAAACGTCCTCCAAACTTCTTCCGCCGTTTCAATTCAACGCGATGTGCATTTGCTGCACGGAAAGGCGTGTTTTGGCAAGTTACCCAGCTAGTTTCGGAGGTGTGACGCCTCCTGCGGATTGATCTTTGGCCAAAATGCAGAACTACAGATTTCCGAATCCAACTGGATTCTTCAACTCGTGCGCTGATGCTGATACCACAATTAGAAATCGGCGGCGGGGAGGGGCGAGATCAAAACTTAAATAAATTATGCTGACCATAGATCGTGCACGCGAGAATCAATTTCCCACGCGTGCAATAATGATGCGCAAATGTTACATTTAAACCATTGGGGACAAACACCATTGTAACAAATGAGAGAGCGTGCACGAGAGCGAGGGAGAGAATAGGAATGAGGTAGTAGATATGGAACGGAACCATATCTATTCTTGGCAATCTAATCGCGACGCCAAATTCATGGTAATTCGCCAGATCGCCGGAGAGGCGGTAAATCCTTAGGCGCCTTCTTTATCCGCACTCTATTAAGGCTGTTGTGCGTGGGACATTTAAGAACTCGAATTGGCCAGATATACCAAGGCTGGAAACAGACTAAATAAGTCCAGGAAGAAACAAACAAAAACATCTGTTTCTTATCTTAGTTATAGCCCCAGAAACAAAAAAAAAACATTGACTCTCAATTTATATTTGCTTTGATGATGCTTCAGTTAAAGAAGTGCTGTTGCCCGGCTCAACGTCAGCGGCGAATTATATCTTGAACGTCAGGCCCCATCCTCCTCACCAAACAGCGCTGCCCAGCGCGGTGAAGAATGGTCAAAGAGTCTCCAATAACCGACAGCGTGGGGAAGGAAACCTTCCTGCAATAGCGGAATTACAAAGTGCTGTACATTCTTGATTTGAAGCTTTCGTGACTGCAGGCATCCATACTCTTTGGTTCTTTCGGTAAAGTCACGTGGGTAAAAAAACATCACGACGCTTCGATCGCAAAACAAGCAATCCTCATCAAGAGTATGCTGTACATTATTAACATAATCATTGTACATTCTTGTCTATATATCCCTACACATGAACTTTGCTCTACGCTATTTTAGTCTCTGGAATGTGTGCAACGCCATCTCTTTGGCTGTATCGTCTTGGCAAAAATTCTATTCAAGTACACGCACAAAACCCACACATTTAGGCACCGGAGCCAGATGCTACTCCAAATACTCATACTAGATCGCATAGTTCAAGTTAAAACAAACAATCCGTATATATATTTGTTTTATATATAATAACAACGTTACTCTTTGGCTCTTTCGGTAAAGTCACGTAGGTAGAACATTTTTATAAAAAAAAAATATCACGATGTTTCGATCGCAACACAAGCGGTCGTCCTCAGGCGGGAAAAAAAATAATTCAGCAGTGCAGCTGCTGAACCAGCGAGACGACAACGCTCCTAACCAAACTCACCTCGCCGATAAATGTTTTGTTGGAACGGGGAGATGAAACGAGGAGGAACGAGCGGCCGATCACCGTGCCCACGGGGGCGCCTGCAGTTTGGTCAAATGAACTCCACGGTTTTAATCTCTGCCTTAAAATACCCTGCGGCTCGGATAAAGGGGGCCGGCCAACAACGTGAAATCTCAACATAAATCCTATTGCTTCCAGGAGCCCCCTACCGCACACGCCCCCCCCCCGTCACCCCCCACCTCACCATCCTCTCATCACCCCATCCCAACCCCTCACCACCATTAGGAAAGGGCTGGAGCAATGCACTTTATTTTCCCAAAAGTATTCTACGAATAAAACGATTCCAGTTGACACAAAGCACAAACACATTACGGATTACAGTGCAATGGAAGCCTGTCTAAACCGCACGTTTCAATAAACTGTTTCAATGAACTCGACATCCCCTGCTGTCTTCCTATGCTCCGATACCCCTGGGGGCTATGCACTTTTAAAATCCAGTTTGGTAAATTAGTTTCTTTAAGAACTGCTTTATTGTGCTTAGTTTCTTGTCCTTTCCTCCACACCTCCGATTAGCACGGTTGGCGATGTACGGTGTGAAAGAAATTCAACATACGGTACATACATGCCACCTCACGCCTCCCACACTTGTACTATATAACCATAAAGAAGTTTGGACGAATCACACGGATTATGTGATTGTTTCCAGCCATGCGTTTATTTTTTGAAGTATTTAATTATGCATTTGCAAAGAATCACGTTTGCTGTGGTTTTGGTTTTCCAACTTATTGGGCGAAGTCTTGGATCCGTTTGGACTGTTTTCAATCGGGTCATGTGGCTATTAGGTCCTCTTTACAATGAGAGTGATCGTGCCACCTGGCCCCTATTACGGATGGACAGAGATAATTCATAATTGCCTTCAAACTCACTCGTTAGTTGGATATTGGTAAAACAACATATTCTTAAATATCTCACGAAACAATAATTCTCTGTGGTGGCATTGTGGTTCGCAACTACTCCACGAATTCAAATCCTAACAAAGACCACGAGCTTCTTGACATTAAAGGCGATTCAATCTATATCATCCTTTTCGTGTTTGTATCTTCTCCCATCTAGCACACTTTTCACTTGTCTACATCATTCGCTACATCTCTCATCCGTGTCTCTCTTCTCACTCCACCTCTCCGACTCCACTCAGATACTCTGGTGCCACATTACAAAAATAAACTAAAACAATCGTAGCCCTAAAATTTTGATTTAAAGCTTTCGTGACTGCAGTAATTCATATTCTTAGTTCTTTCGATAAAGTCACGTTGCAGGGAAACAACAAAATAATAAAATATATATAAAACAATTAAAATTCTCACGTTTCGACCATAACACAAACGGTCGTCTTCAGGTGTGTTGGTTTGCATAAATTTATTTTTTAACGGTGTATGTATTTATTTATAAAAAAACGTTAGCGCTCCTCTTTTCAGAATATAGATGGACTAGTCCTAAATAAACTGCCAAATCGCTGCGCATGGCGCTAACGTTTTTTAATAAATAAATACATACACCGTTTAAAAATAAATTTATGCAAACCAATACACCTGAAGACGACCGTTTGTGTTATGGTCGAAACGTCGTGAAAAAAATTATTGTTTTATATATATTTTATTATTTTGTTTCCCTTCAACGTGACTTTATCGAAAGAACTACGATTATAATCGTAGCCCTGTGACTTTTTTTTTCAAACGCCATATGTAAGAAGGAGACGACACCCCTATCTGCTGTCTGAATTGTTCTCATATCACTATCTCTCTCTCGCATTTCACTATTTCTCTTCTGTGAATTCGCTAGGAGTTTATACATTGAAAAAGCTGGGCCCCAAATTTGTTTTATTTATATTCATGACCTCCAATGTTCCAGCAATATCACCACCACCACTGTATGTGATGTGTGTGATCTGCGCCACTTTCTCCGCAGAGGCTTGTGGCTTGACATTAGGCGATGAGATTTCACAGATTACAGGATCCAGCCTTCTTGACCCGTAGCTCTTTGCTGCCCCACAACCAGCACACGTGCACCACCTCTAATCACTTATTGACGTATGTGGCCGGGGATTGAAGAGCGCATTTATCGAGAAATAAACGGCTTGAGCTAAAGCCAAGAGGTCTAAACTTCTCGCGATTATAGTGACGACTATAAATAAGCAGTGAAGGGGGGTTTCAAACAACAAAATGTAATCGTTCTGCCAAATGTCGGTTCTCAGAATTGTTCCTCGATTTAGCGGTGAGCTATCTTGAAGCGATAATTGGCGCGTTAAGCGTTTGCGATTGTGACAGTGGTACTGTATATATGTTGTGGCTGTGTCGCGTAGCGGAACGCCTCAGTGTTGTTGCCTTCAGGCAAGTGAAGATTGTGCGCGTTACAAATTAGCATTATTATTAAGCACACAAATTTGGTCAGATCTTCACGTAGCCCAGCCCAAAAGAAATCTATCGTGAATCGCAATAATATTGCCCGCGAAAAATCTGCGCGTTCACAAAAAACAATAGTCACGAAACCAAGTGTGCAGTTGAGGAAACTTAGAAGAATTGTTTTAAAGTAATCGTAAATCTTTACGACTGTATTTGTCAAGGAGCAGTGGTTATCGCACTGCTCCATGAACCCTGCAACCGGAGTTCCATTCACTGCCACAGCTGGCATGAGTGGTGAGCGGTACCTGAAGCTGTCCGAGAGCCACCCTGACGCGCACTGGTGAAGTATGGTCAAACACGACCCATGGCTGACATGGTGTTTGGACGACCTCATCCAGAAGTAGATAACCAACTGGCTGAATATGTAATTATTATTATTATTATAATCGACCCAATGTTTCGATTTAAATGTTTGTCGGATAAACAAATGTTTAAAAAAACACATTTTACAGATTTCATTCCGCCGAAATCCACGCGAACGTTTTTTTTAGCAACATTTTTGCTGGGAGGAATTAATGGGTGGCATTGCCATACCTCTGTTTACAGGTTTGAGGCGTGCGGCATTGTGGGGGGGGGACCCACCAATTGAAGCCTTCAATCCATCTGGCACACACACACACAGTGTCTCCCTCGCAGCCTTTACAAAGTTCACACTGGGTCCGTGATGGGTTTTGTCCTCCAGATATTTTTTTCCCCAAAAGTATTTTACGAACAGACGAGCTGCTGGCATCGTGGGCGTTTTAATTGCCTTTAGACAGCCAATTTGAAAAGTGCTGACCAGCCTCTCTTCCACTCTCAACGGTGATCCGTCTCGGCGGCTTGCGAAAGACGTTCAAAGACCCACACGAGTGGCGTGCCGTCTGTGCTCATCACGTGTATTCACACACACACGCACGCACGCGCCTGTTGCACGTTCTAAATGAACACGTAAGGCGCTGGTAACACATTTAGAAATACCTGTAACACGCAGCAAGTTATGTATTTTACACTGAGCAGGTTTGCGTGCCCGTTTGGCTGGTGTGTCATGCAAAGCTCAAGGGCCTCCGTGGCCACCTAGTGGCCAGAATCGATATTGACCGTCCGTGCAAGCAGACTTCGGTTCCGTGCTGACGGCCAAGGGTCCGTCCATAAATGACGTCACGCACATGGGGGGAGGGGGGTCAGACATTTGTGACGATGTGTGACGAGGGGGGGGGGGGGTTTGAGAAATGTGACGTCACATCAAAATGCGCAACTTTAAATAAATGTAGACAACACGTTCTACTTAAATAGACTTTTAAAATGTTTTCTCCTACAACATCAGAGTGCAGCGCCACATTAAATACGCACTGCAATGACAATAGTTTAAAGCGATTTGAAGCGTGTTTTATTTTTGTGGGGTGGGGGGGGCAGAGCTTTGTGACGTCATATTTGAGGGGGGGGGGTCTGACTTTTTGTGACGCCGCGTGACGTGGGTCAAAAATCGTCAAAAATCGCGTGACGTCATTTATGGACGGCCCCCAACACCAATGACGAACATCTGAACCAGTCCTAGACCTCCCTTCCCACCGAGGAGAACTCAGCATCAAATACTTACTGTTCCTTGTGCGATGTGTAAAGATTGCACAAGGAAGACAAAGGTGGCCGGGCGTGGTGCTAGCCACCCACTTCCCTCGTGTACCGTGCCGATCTTCAAATAGGTGCTCGCTAACTGCACCTTGCCCCGAAAGTCCATGCCTATACGGGGCATCTTTGTCTTTATTACATGTACTGTTGAAACTGATATTAAATAATGCCCTGAGGATGTTTAACCGATGCTTTATTGAGCTATGTTCGTCAAGGGTTGGGTCTTATTCTGTAACTGAAGCTCTGTGAGGCATTGTGTTGTGGTTTACTCCTTTCTGTCTCAATGTGCTCTCGTTAGAAGAATGGGCAGAACAAAGTTCAAGTTTCACAGCCGTGGGTTCTATTGTTGTCTTTCATTCGCCTTTAAATTGTTTCCACAGTCTCTAAAGCATTCCAAAAGTGTAATTTGCCTTCCGTTGTGTGCTGTAAGGCAGCGGTCCCCAACATTTTTGGCACCAGGGACCGGTTTCGTAGAAGGCCATTTTTTTCACGGACCGGTGGGGGGGGGTTCATCATTGGGTCTTGTCCCTTTTCAAAGAAGCTCTCCAGCGACGTTTTTTTTTAACTCATTGTGGCTACTAGGGGGTTATAGAGCTCGTGGGCTTACCAACACTGTGACTGAGACACGTGCGCAGTGCGGGAAAGAGGCGCGGACGGAAGTGGTCAACAATAAAATCATGGGGGGCGGGTCACGCGTGGAATCACCGCTCTCACCTCCTGCTGCTGTGCGCCCCGGGGGTTGGGGACCCCTGCTGTCAGGGGAAATCGCTGCGACTGAATGCTTCAATGTCCGCAATTGCTATGTTGTCACTTGATCCTGCGATAACGAAGACCCCTGTTTTTTCAGGAATCAAGACCGTCGAAATGTCTTCAGGAGAAACAATTCCAGATACATCGGAAATCTACATCAACAGTTCCCCGATTGTTGCTAACAGAGACCCTTAAGGGCCTTTCATAATTGATGATCACGATGCCGGGAGGAAAGGCATGACCCAAGTTACACAAAGCAGAGTTTGCACCTGCACTG